AGGTAGCTTAAAAATTCCGTAATTGAGAAACATTAGTGACGTAGGCTAAAGATGAGTTAAGGATATGGTTACATTATAACGATAATTGTAGTAAACGAATGTACTGTATAGCAATAGCGCTATTTAAAATGAGAAAAATAACGAGCAGAAAAAATAACGGAGAAATTTATCGAGTATTGATCACTATCGTTAGACACAACTACTATTATATGTATATGTGTATATGTATGTACAGGGTGTTACATTTGAACGAGAACGGTGGTTATTGAAGCTATGAAAATAGCGTTCGCAGGAAAGTTGTTCGGTATAAAGGGACACATTACGTGGTATAAGTAATTTTTCTGAATAGATATAGCAGTGGGAGAGATATCAAAGTCAAGTTAATTTTTTTAAGTAGAACCCTGTATTTTTTCATTCGTAATGTTGTAGCGTTTGTTGAGACGAATTCAACGATGTGCCACACGAAGTCATTTGGTTTCATGAAAAATTGTAAAGTAATGAAGAATCGAGGAGTCAGGTCGACTTGTGTCGCACGTTTTCAGCCAGCTAAACCCTACTTGCCTTAATGTGATACTTTCTTTAATTTGTCTCAGCAAACGATACAATATTAAGAATAGAAAAATATAATGTTCCCTTTAAAAAAATTAACTTGACCTTGATGTCTCCCCCACTACTACACCTGCAGAAAAATTATTTAGACCACCTAATATTCTCCCATATACCGAACAACTTTTGTGAAAACATTTTTTTCATAACTTCAATCCCTCGTGAGGTATTCCGTTGTTCTCGTTTAAATGTAACACCTTGTATGTACGTATATATGTATGTATGTATGCACATATATATACATACATACATATACATTTATACATATATATGTACATAGGGTGTTGGGTAACTAATGGTAGAAAATTGGAGGAGCGATTGTACAAGTCAAAGCAAGACGTTAATTAAGAATAATAAAATCGCATTTGAGGCTTTGCTTTTTAGTTATTAACATTTACAAATACCCCTGGGGCCGAGCAAACGTACCCCAGTGTCTTGACGTGCCCTACATTCATTAGTGCATAGAAGTTGCTTGGTCACAGGGGTATTTTTAAATGTTAATAACTAGAAAACAAAGCAATATATGCAATTTTGTTATTCTTGATTATCGTCTTATATTGGCTTGTAGAATCGCCCCTCATATTTCTACCATTAGTTGCCGAACACCTTATGTTGTATATATATCATTTGTTAAATATGTACCTATTAATTACTGACGACCGTCGTTCTAAGACTATACAATATAAGGACGAGATTCTTGTTGCTTGGTTTTGTAATCATGCTTGATAAAAGCATTCGAAGAATAAAACTTGTTGTCGTAGAACTTATTTTTTTCATTATTTCGGTTGAAGCCAATTTCCTATCGATTCCCATCCCTAAAACAACGCAACGTCGGGTTGATTGCTATCTCTAAACTTTTTCACGCCTTCTTGCAAATAATCAATCCTACGATTCTCGAGAACTACGTAACTACGAGTCATTAGCCATCGTTGTTCGCCTGGATTGCCCATTCTCGCAAGCACTCTTTCTGACAAAATAGCGTCGCGCTAATTGTCTTCGATAACCCTTAAAATACGTCGTCGTTAACACATATTAATAATGCAACGAATATATTTATTTAGAATTACAATTAAGATTTGTAATAAAGCCGCCAAATACTTCTCTTAATAGCATTTTGATCAACAACCTAATTCTAAGAAAAGATTCTGCAAATATATGGTTAAAATCATGCTTTTTACAAATTTTTTAAATATTCATACAGCATTTGTACAATTTTATGGGCACACTCAGGCAGGACATTCGCAACGCGTGTGCCACACGAACATTTCTGAGAAGATTGTTCAACTGAAAAGGCATTCAACCTCTCTACTCGAATATTTCAACGTGCTCCTGTAAATTTTTCTAACTACGCAGATTTAATGCTGTTCTACGATTCACATTGGGTTTTCATTGTGAAATGTTCGCAAAGTTGTGTAACAGTTTCCACTATCATGTAAGCGTGTCTTTCTCCGGTTGATACGGCACTGGCCGAGCCGTGGCCCAGGCCGTTATATATGCAGATATTAATTGTTAATAACTACTTGACGAAGCCTTGGACGCAATTTCAACCATTTTGATTTTCGATTTAATGTAATTACTGGAAAAATTATAAAAGTTTCTAATTTCCAGGACCGTAAGTAACCCAACGGTGTATTTTGCACAAAATGTAAGTTAACTATGAATCTAATAATTTTTTATTACGAAGCGAAAAATCAAAATTCAAATTTATCCGTATTTTGTATTTCAGCCAAAAGAATCTGCACACAAAATGGATTAACGCTTTGCACGAAAAATTAACAAAAACGTATGAATTTTTAATATATTATTTTTAAACAAATGGATTTTGTTTAAAACTAATTATGCAGGTGAATTCGTTGAGAAACACGCAATCTCTATATTTAAACCATTTCTCTATCTCTAATAGTTTCAGAGATATTGGACCAAATGTAGGTCTTAACACCGCAAACTTTGAAGGCTGTTTTCACCCTCTCAACATAAATGATGGCCAGTAAAAAAAATAGGTGTGAAATATTTTTTCGAGGACTTCGTCATACGTAAATTCCATCAAAATCGGTAAGTAACACTTGGTGATATTTCTTTTTAAAGTGGCTTCACGAATCACCCCTTCAATTTACAATTAGTATCAAAGGTAGCTGAATAACCTGTACGTAACCGTGTATTATGTAATAGCAATGCACACATTGTAATCTATAGTAGTCACTAATAGGTAATAATTCCATTTTTATTTGTATAAACTATTGTTCATCTTTTCTTTATCATTTAAACTGAGGAAGCAATATTTCATTGTGGTTATATTTTCTTAGTCACCGATTATAAACTCTTTTTACTTACATATATGCTTCTCAGTTCCAAGGATAAAATTAAAATTTTGTTTCACGAATAACATTATTATTTCTAAAAACAAATGTTCATCAAAAGAAATTTAAAGAACTTGTAAAATTCGTTGGTAACGAACTCAAAGTACAGTTTTCATCCAAACGTTTATTTAAAAAATATTGTTGCGAGTATTGAAAGTAAGATAGCGTTTAATAATTGCCAGGAAGTAATAAGTATTTCTACATACTGAAATATTTTTAAAAAATGCAATCTTTTCACACTGACATTATGTGTTATATTAATAAATTACAAATGAATATGTTATAACATACTTCATTAATTGCAGTATTAATTTAAATGAAATATTCATAAGGCATTTTTTAAATGTACATATGTACATATACAGGGTGTCCCATTTTAATCTAGTCTAGATAAAAGAAAATGCTTTTATGGGGTTACAGAAGATCAAGGATGTCATCGTAAGACACAGGCAGGATGTTGCTAAGTGGATGGAGGCATTAAGGTTAGGCGAAGGTCACTAACGCTTTTCGAATGACATATGATATATTTTTTTTCTACAAAATGACAGAGAGTAATGAGAAAAGTTCAACCATACCATTTGATGAGTGACTTTATTGAAGAATTTATGAAATAGGGTACCCAAATTTTTTGAACGAATGAACGTTATCCACATCGTTCGATTGATCGTAGAGGCTCTGCAGAATGGTCATCCAGATCTCTGGACTTAACCCCCGTGGATTTCTTTTTGTGAGGTTACGTAAAAGAAAAAGTCTATGCCCATCAATCAACAGTAATTGATAACATGAAAGAGCGGATTGCACATCCATTTCATACTACTACTCCAGAAACGCTTAGAGCTGTTCATAGTAGCTTTAGAAGAAGAAGAATCAAGGCAAAAACTTCGAACGTTTCAACGATTAAGCAGTTTTATTAATTTCGTTGTTTTATTTTACAAATTCTTCAATAAGTTACACATAGAATGGTACAGTTGAATTTACCACCTAGCATTATGTAAAAAAAATATACTGCGTGTCATTTTAAAAAATGTAAGTGACCTTCATCTGACCTTAACGCCTCCACCAATTTTCTGCCTGCATCGTATGATGTCCACCTTCAATCTCTCGTAACCCTTTACAACCATACTCTTCTACTTTAATCTAATATATACAGGGTGTCCGAATTTTTTATGATCAAACTTTGTCAGTATGTTATATGAGTATAAGTAAGAAAAAAATGTTATATAAACATAGGGCGTTTGGAGCTTTGTTAAAAAGTTATAATAGAAATACGAAATACGAAGGGAACGGTAACGAACTTACGGTTGCTACGATCAGGCCCATCACGAGGTCACAAGAGAACAAGTTTATTTCAGCTAATTAAATTCGTACACACTTCCTTCAAGTTTATTGAAAATAAAAGTCGACATTTCCATGATAACTCATTTTAATGAAATACGAATAACACAACGGCCTCGTGTTTATATATTATGAATTTAATATTTAAAAATAAGTATTTTATTTTGCAACTATAAGGTTGCCTTTCATACTGTTATTTCTGAGGAATAAAATTTTAAAATGTGGCTCCATACAGAGTGAGGCCCCAGCTTGCACCTAATGCGCCTTATGGTAAATGCGGCCCTGACAAAAATGGCGCTGGCAGGAATTGCATTAAACAGCTTCAGATCGTAAACCTTTGTTAATACAACATTTTTTTCTTAATTATACCCATAGAACATACTAACAAAGTTTGATCGAAAAATACTGTGACACTCTGTATATTACACATGCACATATGTATGTATATCTCATTACCCAAAATAACAAACTAACCTAACTTTTTCACAACTTTTTCTGCGTATGCCTCTTGTAACACTTTATACTTATACTTTTAAAAAGAAACACGAGAAATAAGAAAATTTAAAATTTCGATACCTTGAATATGTCACAAAGGTACATACATAAAGTGAGGTTATAAGTCTTTAAAAAAACTGTTTCGCTGAGCTTCATAAAGTAGCTCTCCTTGAAACATTTGCTATTATACGTTTATACTAGTGATTTTCATGAAAACGAAGCATTTTCCACAACTTCATCTTTCAATATATTTTCAATTTGAGGTAAAGAATTCTTTAACCACGACGCCATGAAAATTCCGTTCGCTTCGACAAGCGCTGCGGCATATCTTGTTCCTTTCATGCTGTCGTAATTGTTTTCTCTGAATATTTGAAGCTGCAATAAACAATGATTACATAAAACCAACGAAACATGAAAAGTATATAAATTTAATTGAAATATATAGTTTCTTACATCTTCCAAATCCTGATCGGTGGTTAAACCGTTAATCATGGAGAGTATGAAAGTTTTCAGCACCGTATAAGACCCGGAATACCTAGACGAAGAAAATAACTTTGTTACCGTGTTTTCCATTTTATAATACATCTTTTATAAAATGCTTCACGCGTACCTCTGCACAATTTCCTGCCAATTTGCTCGAACGAATCGAGATGCAACTTGAGTAGCAGCTGGATTTCGAGGGAATGCATTTAAAATTACTAATATTTCATCCTCCCGGAATCGATCTTCGTGAAGGATTTCGTTGAGGATGCTGTTATTAAAGGAAAAGGTAAAACAATGTTTCATGTAAAAATAACGAAACGTAAATTAGAAAATTTTCAGATATGTAAAAGTTTTGCTTCATTTGAAATTTTGTAAAATATGCAAACAAATTTCTGGAAAATCTCGTATAGCTTTTCCAGCTTGAAGAGTATGTAACTAAATCCTTCGTTATGTTGAATTATTTCTACTTCAATATTTTACATAAAAACGGTTGCAATTATTTAAGACAGAAACGACCTGTTGTATTTAAAAGTACTAAATCACGTTTGAATTCAAAAGAAAAGTTCTGCTTATTATTGATACTTATTATGATATTGGTTCTTTGATTTATTTGTATTATTGGTGTACAGTAACTGTTGTGAGCACTTTTTGTCTCATGCGTGCCGTTGCGAAAGGGGTAAACATTCTTTTATATAAAAGTATTCGAACAGTCCAAAATTTACGAGATATTTAACCCGTTTAATTTTACTTGTGTATACTCTTTAAAGTTAAACAATCGTTAATCCCCAAATTGATTGTAGCAACTATCCGGCCGCCGGTAAAGTAAAATTATCAGCTTTTTAACCTTAATGCGTTCTTCCGTTCGACTGTACACTTTGGGTCAAAAAAGACCCGAATACCTTATGTGCAACAATTTTCTTTACCAACACGCCATATAAACCTAGACAGTAAACTTTTAATACAATATTAAGGGAACATAAACTTGGTAACAGCAAAAATTATTAAAAAAATAAGAAGGCGATGGGGTCGAAAAAGACCCGACGATCGCGCTAGTGTTAAACGAAATAGAAATAAGAAAGCTACTGATGTCAATGCAGCACGTAGATCATTGTAAAACGATTTCATTTACTTACAATTGCAAAACCCAGGGAGCTTGAAAACAAGCAAATGACGATAACAAACGTTTCCTCTCCTCCTCATCTTCGGTTAACGCCACTTTTTCTGTGAAGTAGCTCCATTCCCTTCGCGTGCCATAACGCGCAACGGTGCAGTAAAACGTTGAGCGGATATACGAAGGGATGCTGAAAATAAGTAATTTGGTTAGATTCTTATAGTTAAAAAAGGTGTGATCGTTGCGAACGTGACATAACAATAGTAACAACGATTGCGACCTAAGTACTGACATACACCAAATCTTATTTGAACTCTGAATTCAGCCAAAAAGGTAATTTAAAAATTTGTCGACTTCAAACACTTCGCTCGATATAAGTTCACAAATCAATCATTTCAAAGTAATAAATAATTTTTTTGCTTCAAAAATATGAATTCACCATTTTTGTACTATTTTACTTGCGCACTATTCTTTCGAATTTGACAATACGACATCGCGCAACTATTGAAATGAAGAAACAGTATACAACACCTCTAATAAATAAGTAAAATGATAAACTTGTAAATTAATTTCTTGTACATGATCATATTCATACATGAAAATATTGCAAACAATCTTAACGGATAGAAATATAAAACTTTAATCAAACTTACATTTCTTGAATTTCATTGTCAGTCTTTGCATTTTCAAATATGTTTCTCGTCCAGTCTAAGCACTCTGTATGCTCAAACATGCATGCTAGTTTTATAGCGAGCATCGTTAACTGCGAACCTTCGTCTATTTTCGACTTTACTTCGTTGTACAACGGAGACACGAATCTCACAACAAATTCCTGCAGAATGGAGCAGAATGATACTACGCAGACAAATACATACATAGCAAGCGATAAAGTTAGAAATTTAAATGCTCTCTACTATCCTACCATCTGCATCACATTTTTAACTAAACATCGCTTAAAAAAATTAAAATACAAAAGTTATATTAAGTTATATAGGTTTTAACATAACTCCATTGAAATTAAACATTTTTATTTCAAATAATTTTCAGAATAATTTAAATTATTATTCATAATTTAAATAATTCGTCATTTGTGAGAAAATCCGTCCCGAAGACGGTGAAGCGAGCACCTCGAAGCCACGCCCAGCGCGCTCGGTGGGGGTGACTCCGCCCCTTTGGGTCTTTCCCTGGGCCTGTTCGCGTACTCACTCTTCCCGAGACCCTTGAAGTATACTTTTGCGAACGACGCTCGAATAACGTGGATATAGATCTTGAGTAAAATGTATTATTGCGAAAACGTGGAAACGTTTAGCTAATTTTACGCCCACTCTACTCCGAGTCAGGCTAATTTCGTAAAGTCGCGGTAGGCGCCACCCGACCTGTGGTATGCGAATGGGTTTCCCTCGTCCTATGATACACATCTTGTCGCGTCGCGCTCTTTTGTGATGTTCAAAAGAACTCGCGGTCGCGACTGTTACCCGCCAAATTAATCTTGGATAACTAATTGGATATCTATTCTACTCGAACGTAGTAGAACGTGATCGAGCGCAAATGGTGAAGTCTCGATCCAATCAACGTGCCCCTTGAGTGTCACCCACCCTTCCATTGCGCCCTTAGCGCGCTTTTCCTTGGAAGGAGTAGGGCCCTACCTGTGGGTGCGTGGAATCCTCGCTGTCCTTCGGTGACGCGTCGAAAATTCCCGCCAGGTCAACCCTCCGCCGTTATACGCACGTGTGGATTGACCCTTCAGGAACCCTGGTTTATAACACGTCTTGGGTGCGTGGAATCCTCGCTGTCCTTCGGTGACGCGTCGAAAATTCCCGCCAGGTCAACCCTCCGCCCTCCAACCCTACGAAGCGTCTTTGTTCTCAAAAATAGCCTTCTCGTGCGAGCGTGCCATAAACCCGGTCAACGAAGACCCCACGCGTTCCATACCTGCACGACGGAACACATCTCCTTGAAAATTCGCCCGATCCATTAGGACACCTTCCCTGCATTCCAGACCGATGCCAAGATGGCTTTACCCGATACCGCGATTTTCCGTGTCCTCTTCCAAAATTTCCCTACCCCACGCGCATTCCACAGCGTCCATCCCCTCCAGTAGGGCCCCATATAAATACTGGGCCCAAACAAGGGAAGTTTAGTCTTACGTTTAAAATCTAAGGAACCACAACGTCACTCTGTAACAGTATTATTATAAATAAAGCACTTTAAACAATCTCCGGAGTGACCTCGACGACACAAGAGCAGCCAAAATCCCGGCCGACGACGTGAAGGGCGGTCAACCGCCGAAAGTCGTACGAGCGACACCGACTAGCGTCACGGGCCATTTCGTCTCGCTTTCTCAATAAAAGATTTCAAGCGCGACCACGCGTACGTTTATTCTCCCGTCGCCCGCAAACTTAACAAAACGATAAAAACTTAAAACTCTATTTCATTTGAAAAATCGGCAAGTTCTTATGACTCACCCTATACGTTGCATACAAAAGCTGTATTCTTTAGAAGCTCGTATCAACTATGCCTATTACTCACTTGAAAATCGTTGAAGACCGACGTTTCGTATAAAAGACTGTTTAATTTAAACATGTGTCGCATGAACGTGCTCCAAGGCAGATAATGTCTTTCCTTCATTTGCATATATTTAATAAAGTCAAAGACGGTCTCGTATTTCACCAAGCCCACCGTGGCCAGGCTGAAGACGTCTTCTATAAGTGACGCCCTTGTTTCTGCCGGAAACAGCTCGTGATTCTCTGTAAGTGCTGTTTTCAACAACATCCAGTTCCTTTCATCGTAATGCACGCGATAATAACCTTGAGAAACATCGTTGATCAGATAATTTTCCATTACTTGAGAACATAAAGTGTTTCGTAATAATAAATGTCACAAGGAAAAAATTGAGCCCAACAATAATTGCAAACAAAAACGAAGAACTGCAATTATACTACTTTTCTCAGTGAAATCTTTTAACAGCCAAATTTTCCGTTCATACTTGCATTCATCAACGCATTAGTATTTGTCTTTTTGTCGGTTGGAAAATGGGCGAAAAAAAACTAAAGGTGACCTTGATAATTTGGAAAAAAATCACCTGTGAAATATACTGGGTGTCCCAGGTTTTAATGGCCAAACGTTGTCAGTATATTCTATGGGTCGAAATAAAAAAAAAATGTTACACAAACATTGGTCTGTTAGAGCTTCGTTAAACAGTTCTAGCGGTAATACGAAATGAGGGAAACAATAGCAGACTCGCGGTTACTGCTATGTAATACAGAAAAAGATCATCAATATTTGCGCGATATTTACAATCGCGTAATGAATTGATACAAAAAATCAACGATGCATTTACTGAAATGAAACAAAATAATAACGAAATTCGCAGAGTAATCTGATGTCTTCTGATGTCAATCTTGCGTTGCCACAGACGGTGGACATTTTTGAGATGGAGTATTAGTTGCTTCTTGCATAAACAGAGAAAACGTAAATATTGCTGATCTATTTCTGTATCACATCGCAGTAACCGCGAGTCTGCTATTGTTCTCTTAATTTTGCATTATCGCCATAACTTTTTAATAAAGCTTCAAAAGACCTATGTTAGTATAACATTTTTTTCTAATTTCAACCCATGGAATATACTGACAACGTTTGTAGTAAATTTCCGCCTCCAACGTAAGTTAGGGATCCGCACGCGTATATCAAAGAAAATCAAAAAAGATAAGTTCAATGTACAAAACTAATCATTTACGAATCTACTAGAAACCACGAAATATTTTACATACAATTTGTTACATATGCACCAGTCTTCTCTTCGCTAATTGTATTTCGTAAAAAGCTTTCTTCTTCTATACGCACAGTTATATATTTTTATACTTGTATTTACAATCTCTGCATTATTCCCTAAGTGGTTGAATTTCTTTACTTCTTTATGAGCTGCATCGTGGTATCAATGAAAATATACCGGCCCGTTTAAAAAGAAATGTTGATATCTCCTAAAGTACAATCTCGAAAAGGTTCCTGCCTATCAGAATATTTGTTCCTTTGCATTAAACAATATTTTCCTTAGCCTTTTCTTTGTACCATCAAACGAAACGGAGATATGCTAGAATCTATATAGAATCTAGATGCTCGAATTAATGGAAAACCCCTGCATTCTGGCTCCTGCCGTACAACGAGTCTCGAAAGTACACTTACAGTGGATTGTTATTGCTAAAAGCAGCAATACGAAAATTTTGTTTAAAATTAGAAGAAGCATTGTTCAATAAGCGTTGATTCTCTGTAAAAATAAACAGAACGTTGAATAAATTACAGTGCTCGGCAGAATAACATGTACAAACGAGCGTAAGGTACTTCCCTATGAAAAGATAAGACGAAAATATAAAATAAATTTTTTTCATTTTGGGCTTAGCTTTCGAGAAAATCGAGTTTGAATATCCACAGCTGATTCGTGTTTGTAAACAACGTCTACGCGGCATTTAAAACCTACCGATTGCGAGTACAAGGAAAATTTTTAACGAACAAAATTTCATTTCATTAACATTATACGCGTTACACGTTGCTCGATCAACCGTAAGTACCTTACCCGTAACAGCATACGTAAGAAGGGGATCTTCAAACTCGATTTTCTCGGAAACTAAGTCGGAAATGAAAAAAATTTATTGCATATTTTCGTCTTATTTTTTCACAAGAAATCACCTCGTGCCCGCTTGTATATGTCACTCGGCCGGAGCCTGTATATTACATAAAAGACACTTGTTTCTCGTATAGGGTGGGGCAAAAGCTTTGTCCACTTGGAATATTTCCGTTATGGTAACTTGAATATAAAGATTGCAGCAACTTAGCATCGACACAAATAGTCAACTCTTCGAACATCTTCTGTAATGTAGACAAATTTATTTTACCATCACATTTCACCTCGAATAACCTTTAACACTAACCGTACCACGCCCGGTCAAATGACGGTTTCAAAATTTGATATGTAATATTTTTTTATTCTTATCTAAAGGCTGTTTTCTGCGTTGTTTCCTATATTAAACTGACAATCATCGGTATTCCTTTCGGAAAAATCTGATCTTTATTAGATAAATTTTCATAAACATAATCTTGAAAAATTTGACCGACTGACAATAAGGTAAGAATAGGTAGACAAAAAGTGCCGGTGAGATTACTGCTAATGATAGCATGCTGAAATCGTCACAACAGCGACAAAAAAAGTATAGCATCCCATTAACAAAAATAGAGATGACAAGTAGAGGTGAAAAGTATTGGATGATTGCAAAAGTTCATACCTGATTTTCAGAGGTGGTGGAAACCTTATCGACTACGTCACAGATCTTTGTTTTAGCGTCATGCTACATTCCTATCGAAAGATACACCGCTTGTGTTTTATTTTCAAATAATTATTCATTTCGTTTAATTTTGTTTTCAAATAAAATGTACCTTTGCACACACCGCTAGTGTTTTATTTTCAAATCGGGCACGAACTTTTGCAATCATCTAATATTTACATCACATTGTGCCCTGCTCCACATCGTGCAAGTTTTGTATATAACATTTTTCCAAATTTACTGCAAATAACAGAAATATTCTAGGTGAACAAAGTTTTTGTTCCACTCTGTATGTTGGATAAAAGAATCGTGCTATTTTAACGTGCTTATATTTTTCCTCAATTCTTCAGATTAGTTGAAAAGTATAATTAACTTCTTTGCAGACCTCTAATGTGGAGTCATAAATAAGAATTAAGGAACAAAGTAACGAGTCTTCTTAAAGGCGCAAACATGTTTTCTAAATGGAATATACATATCTATATACCCGGTGGAAAATGAAATTTTCCAACGTGATGGAGCTTCTTATTTTGCATATTTCAAGTTAAATGTCAAATTTGCTAGAATACAGTAAGTTGAAACGAAAGTATTCGTTAATAATGATTGGGATTTGTCAAAATATATTTGAACGTGTCGATAAACTTTTGGCAAAATGTAACATTTAGCGTTAAAAGTCAATTTCATGCTCTGGGAAGGAGGAAACTGAACGTAGAATTTCACGAGAAAGATATTTAAAGAGCTTTTCGCTTAAAAAATGATGAATTTCGTAATTTTTCGTTTTTCACATTTTTAGGCACCTTTGAAAATATATCCTTGAAAGGATTTCTTGAAATTCGAGAAATTGACGTCGCTATGCAGCAAGATTTCAAGATTTCATGAGATGTATTAAGAATAATTTTTTTACGAACTTTAAACGCGGTTTTCTCGAAATTACTTTTTCAAAAATTATCCGACGGATTGTTCTGAAATTTTGCACACATCTTCAATACACGTGTAGATAAGGTCATCACCCTCTATCATCGAAAAATTACTATTTTTGAAGGTTAGGTTAGACAAAAACTCCAAGCGCGACTTCTATCTGCCGCCATTTTGTTATTCTTTGGTACTTTTAAACCAGAGTAGATAATGCCCAACCTCAACTATTATCATAATCAGCCCCTCGCGGCATTTTTGTTTCAGATGTACCAAAGTCGAAAAATCTTGCACACTGAAAACCCTTTTTTTCATGCAAAGATTACTTCCGGTACACGTCACCCAAAAGCTATACTGTGCTTTATCATACAAAAAATTAAACGCACAGTGCAAGATACGAATAACAATCATCCCAAGTTGCATTTCAACAGCTCTGCTAGTTTTCTTGCAAAGAATTCTCAAAAAACATCGAAATTCTAAAGGCATTGTTCTGTAAGAAATGACTTATTTTTTCGCGGAGCTACGAAGCGTCTTTGTTCTCAAAAATAGCCTTCTCGTGCGAGCGTGCCATAAACCCGGTCAACGAAGACCCCACGCGTTCCATACCTGCACGACGGAACATATCTCCTTGAAAATTCGCCCGATCCATTAGGACACCTTCCCTGCATTCCAGACCGATGCCAAGATGGCTTTACCCGATACCGCGATTTTCCGTGTCCTCTTCCAAAATTTCCCTACCCCACGCGCATTCCACAGCGTCCATCCCCTCCAGTAGGGCCCCATATAAATACTGGGCCCAAACAAGGGAAGTTTAGTCTTACGTTTAAAATCTAAGGAACCACAACGTCACTCTGTAACAGTATTATTATAAATAAAGCACTTTAAACAATCTCCGGAGTGACCTCGACGACACAAGAGCAGCCAAAATCCCGGCCGACGACGTGAAGGGCGGTCAACCGCCGAAAGTCGTACGAGCGACACCGACTAGCGTCACGGGCCATTTCGTCTCGCTTTCTCAATAAAAGATTTCAAGCGCGACCACGCGTACGTTTATTCTCCCGTCGCCCGCAAACTTAACAAAACGATAAAAACTTAAAACTCTATTTCATTTGAAAAATCGGCAAGTTCTTATGACTCACCCTATACGTTGCATACAAAAGCTGTATTCTTTAGAAGCTCGTATCAACTATGCCTATTACTCACTTGAAAATCGTTGAAGACCGACGTTTCGTATAAAAGACTGTTTAATTTAAACATGTGTCGCATGAACGTGCTCCAAGGCAGATAATGTCTTTCCTTCATTTGCATATATTTAATAAAGTCAAAGACGGTCTCGTATTTCACCAAGCCCACCGTGGCCAGGCTGAAGACGTCTTCTATAAGTGACGCCCTTGTTTCTGCCGGAAACAGCTCGTGATTCTCTGTAAGTGCTGTTTTCAACAACATCCAGTTCCTTTCATCGTAATGCACGCGATAATAACCTTGAGAAACATCGTTGATCAGATAATTTTCCATTACTTGAGAACATAAAGTGTTTCGTAATAATAAATGTCACAAGGAAAAAATTGAGCCCAACAATAATTGCAAACAAAAACGAAGAACTGCAATTATACTACTTTTCTCAGTGAAATCTTTTAACAGCCAAATTTTCCGTTCATACTTGCATTCATCAACGCATTAGTATTTGTCTTTTTGTCGGTTGGAAAATGGGCGAAAAAAAACTAAAGGTGACCTTGATAATTTGGAAAAAAATCACCTGTGAAATATACTGGGTGTCCCAGGTTTTAATGGCCAAACGTTGTCAGTATATTCTATGGGTCGAAATAAAAAAAAAATGTTACACAAACATTGGTCTGTTAGAGCTTCGTTAAACAGTTCTAGCGGTAATACGAAATGAGGGAAACAATAGCAGACTCGCGGTTACTGCTATGTAATACAGAAAAAGATCATCAATATTTGCGCGATATTTACAATCGCGTAATGAATTGATACAAAAAATCAACGATGCATTTACTGAAATGAAACAAAATAATAACGAAACTCGCAGAGTAATCTGATGTCTTCTGATGTCAATCTTGCGTTGCCACAGACGGTGGACATTTTTGAGATGGAGTATTAGTTACTTCTTGATGATTAGTTGATCTATTTCTGTAGTTACATCGCAGTAACCGTGAGTCTGCTATTGTTTCCTTCATTTCGTATTACCGCCGTAACTTTTTAACGAAGTTCTAACATACCTATGCTTGTATAACCATAGAATATACTGACAACGTTTGCCCATTAAAACCTGGGACACCCTGTACACTGCAATCAACCTGTAGGTCCCTTTAAACCAAGGTATTTAAATGGAAAGGAATTTGTATTGGTCCAGTAGTAACGGAAATAATTAAAACGATCAAGTTACGTGGTTCACCCTGAATAATTCAGAGAAACTATTCGGCACATTTGGTATGAATAAAAATTGGACTGTACAGTACTTCGTATTTTTAGATACTATAGTTCCTTGCTATTTCAACGAATAAAGACATATAACGTATATGGTAATTAAATTTAGCACACACCAGTCTTATTCACATTAAAGAGTACCCAAGATTCGTTGGAAGCAATATTTTCCAAAATGATCTTAGGCTCGGATTGGAACCATACTTTTGTAGGAGACGACCAGTTGCCGTTTTCGTTAATGTAGTTCAATGGAATGTGCCAAAACTTAGATATACTTTCCGACGGCCTATCGAGCGCAAATGGTTCCTAAAATAATTCATTAATCACGTGAAACTGATAATAAATAATTTATCGAGTAACTGTATTATAATTCGATTATAAAATTACATAAATATAATTTTATACTTTTAGAATTTTTTGGCTTTATCTGCTCGAATATACACTATAGGCCAAAAGATTGACGTCGCTTGAAATTTTCGCTTACACTGACTCTACTATCAATTTTATAGATTTGAAATTAATGTTGCAGGGATCGATAGCACTTCACTCTGCTTCGGTAAATAAAGAGAAGTAAAAAATTCCTTTTTTCCTTAAACATTCTTGCGTAGCATACAATGCATAGTGGTCTCAATCTGTTGGTCAGCAGTGTGTACTTAACAAACGTACTTCATACCCGTTTAAGCATTTACCACTGCTCGTTTGAAATAGAAATCATCTATTCGTAATTTCATGTAATATTTTCTTTTCTTCACTTTTACTATCAGAAAGCAATAGCTAACTCCTCGTTAATTTTCATTAATTGCGGAATTTATTACCTTATAAAATATTCAGACTGCTTAACGACAATAACTATTTGCCTATTACCTGATAAATAACGGCAGACTCCTCTTCATAATTTCTCTTAACGGTAACAAGTGGATATCCACCTTGCGAGATCCAAGAATTTATCATTTCTTCCAATGAGACTCCAAGTAGATGTTCTGCTGCCTCTGCCTCCAAGATATTCATAAAATCAGCAACATCCGTTGAATTGTACTTCCTGAATATGTAACAGAACTCGTTTAGTTATCTTCAAATATAGCCAATTGATACATGTACTAAAGGAACAACAAAAGAATATTTTACGTAAGATTGTAACAAAGCCCTTCTTTTTACACAGTAAAATAGTCCGCAAAATCAAGAAAAAATCATTTCTATTCAATTTATTGATGTGCACTCCCGTTCCTAAGTATTAGGACACTGACTAAATGTGAAGCACACTGAAATCTAGTCTACGCAAATCTGCTGAATTCTATTAAAAATCTACCGTACCCTATTCTATTTTCCAAACTTTAAATTAAATTTCTGAATTCAAGGTCATCTCAAGGTCATAGTATGGTAACTCGTGCCATTTAAAAAAGTCAAGGTAACCTTTCATACTTTTTTTTTATATTCAAATTTATAGCCCGCTGAAAGCTGATTAACCATTTGGGCTTATGAAACCTGGTCCGAAACATTTTCTCGTCAGATTATCGGAAGTGGCTCCTTGCGAATGTGTTTCTCGATCCCCGAATTTTTCTGGAGTCCGCCGTGACTCCCCCGCCAAGTGCAAGAAGGCACGCTGATTGGTTTTTCACGTACGCACAAATTACCAATCAACGTGCCCTTCCATTGCGCCCTTAGCGCGCTTTTCCTTGCAAGGAGTGGGGCCCTACCTGCGGGTGCGTGGAATCTTCGCTGTCCTTCGGTGACGCGTCGGAAATTCCCGCCAGGTCAACCCTCGGCCGAGAGTGCCGTTATACGCACGTGTGGATTGACCCTTCAGGAACCCTGGTTTATGACACGTCTTCGGTTATTGAGGACGCGGAAAAGTCGAAATTCTAAAGGCACTGTTCTGTAAGAAATGACTTATTTTCTCGCGGAGCTACGAAGCGTCTTTGTTCTCAAAAATAACCTTCTCGTGCGAGCGTGCCATAAACCCGGTCAACGAAGACCCGGTACCTGCGCGACGGAACACTAACTTCGGCGAGGGAATGTAACTTAAATCGTTCGATACTTTCTACACGAGCACAACGAGTGTCCTGATACTTCTGAACGGCAGTGTAAATAAGTGCTGTATGTTCGCAGCATCCGCAAATGACGAAGAATTAGTAAATACCAGAGAAATGCGAGAGGAGGAAATGACAAACGTACGAGAGAATAGAGAGAAAAAAAAACGTAAAGGCTATTAACAATCCTGGGGCAGGCGATTAATCACAATTAGCTTCGGAACAACTCGATTGTGAATTCAACTTGCTCTCCGCGTTACACAGCTGTCGTCAATCCTCGATAACGAGAATAACGTTCGTTCGGTGGCGTATTAACGAAATATTTGAAATTCCTCAGGAATAGTATACCCACCACCTGGTTATCAGTTTCTTGTAGCCGTTCCTAAAGGCTGTATCGCTTATCGCGCCATGCAACATGCGTATCAGACATGCACCTACAAGAAGCAATTGAGAAATGCAAAAGAAGATTTTTAAAAACTTGCAATATCCTGAAAGCTAAGGCTAACAATATGCTGTATTACCGGTTTACCTTTCGCGTGTTCCTCATTAAAAGGCTGCAACAGCCGATAATTAACGTTCTCAAGGAGGGGCCTTGAAATACTGTACTCGTCGATCTCCATCGCTTGCAGAAGAACATCGACGATGAAAGAGCCGCTCGAGTCTAATGACGAATCTATCTGAAAATGTCATTTTATCAAAACGGTTTACAATACTGTCTTCCTTCGTTCAGATACAAGTTTCGTTTCTTGCCTCTCCGACGATCTCGTGCTGAAAGTAAATCAGCGATCCCTCTAACATCCACGCTTCCGTTCGATTCACGTTCGTAAACTCGTCGATCCATTGCTGCACCATTAGGCCAACTAAAACCCTCAGGGCGTTATTCTTCGTAACTAATGGCGATTTATTGCTGGCGTAGAATAACGACTGCCTGGAAAATTGAAGTAGCGCCGATGGAATTGTCAGGGAATTGTCGATAATTAGACATTCTGAATAAGTAAGCGTTTGTAGGAATATCGATGACACGGAAGGTGAAATAAAACAACAATGAAGCAAATCGAACCGCGACTTCTAAGAAATAAATCATTAATCGCGAGAAATATAAATTCATCTTGTGTATCCAATGGATCGATAAAATTCTACGAATCTTCGAAAGATTTCATGAAACACTCGTGTTCGTTAGATCGGAATATTCTTCATTTCTTCGCGAACGCAGTAACATTGACAGCTAATATTCAGTTTGTTCCATTCGAATTAGTATTTCAATAGCCGACGTAAGGTAATCGTGCTTTGAGAAAAGTGCACGAATTAGTATCGATATTTTAAGAATTATTGTTATTAATAAGAGGTAGTTGTATAAATTGTCTTGTAAATGCTGTGAAATAAAAACCAGATTATTGATCTTCTAAATAAAGAATAATTTGATTAATACCAAAGATAGGCTACAATTAATGTATTAAGCTGAGCAGAAAGTTCGTGCCGATTTTTGATTGATAGCGTTTGAATGCGTTAGAACGAATAAAACTGGGTGAAAACATGAAATTCGCATATATTTTGAGACATCATTTTTTCACGTGACTTTTGGAAGTTTCTTCTCGGAGTTACAGTATCTTAAAGATGGGAGAAAATAGAATAGATGTTTTTATTTATGTTTCTCAACAGCAAGCCAAGTAACTTACAGAAAAGGTACCTTATTAGAACAAATTGATCACAAATGATTTGCAAAATTTAGCGATGAAAATTTCGTTGTTTAAAAAACTGAGAAAAAAAACTTTTGACAGAAAACGGCGAAAAGTTGTAGAACAAAATGATACATGTCTTATAGAGTAAAGAAATCATTGCTTGAAAGCATAGAATTTACTTATTTACTTAAAAATCGACACGAATTTTCTGCCCAATCCAACGCAAATTCAAGGGAGTTCGTTTTAATTACAACTTTGAAACAATGTAACGCGTGTCTGTAACGGTAAAAATAACGATAACTCTTACTTCACCGCAATTAATCCTGGACTTCCCATGTTCTCGTCGATCCCTGGAGGCAAACATACGAGATGCAACTTAGGCAAAGGGTAGGGTATCGAGAACACGTCAATTAGGTTATTGATAACTCGACTGAGTTTGTCGAAGAGGTAAATCTCTTGTGATCGTCTGTCCGATTCGAACCAGAGTTCTGCTACTACTTCAGTGTCTTCTATAAGTATCGTGTCTACGAGTTCGATGTGTCCCATGAGAAAGACCAAATTGTGCGGTGAAAGAGGTGGAGACACGTCGAAAGTGTCGACTACCGATGTGTTTGAGCTTGAAATAGAAGTAACAGTATGATTATCATATTTTCGTTTAAATGGAAAACGTATAAATTTGATGAATTTAAAAACAAAATCGTATATTAGTGCGTCATATATTGCGCCAAGCAGTCACAAAATGCTTTGTTCGCAATAGGCACATGGACATCGAAGACAATTCGGCAGGGAAGGCCGCCAACTTCGGCGACTAATAACAATGGACGGAAATTTTTTGAAGAAGGAATACAAACACTCGTGCGACGCTACGATAAATGTTTAAATAAACTTGGTGATTATGTCGAAAAGTAGCTCTTGCATTGTACTTTAAAATAAACAGCAAAATAGCCCCAAATGCTAAATACTTTTTTTTTTTAATGCGTGTGCAACTAACTTTTTCACTCTGCCTTGTATTATTAGAAGACTTCCATTTAAATGTGCACCTTGTGAAAGACACATGGCATGCATTACTTACTCGTCCCATAAACTCCTAAGGGGCATATTCGAGAGGACTCTCATTTCTTCCGGATGTGTCACGGATAGCGAGAAAATTGACTTGTGCTTCGTATCGTCAAAAACTGGGAAAAGATACCGAGCACCGGAATGTTTTAATTTCGTCCCCATTAGCCATCTGATATGAAAACATTGGAAATTAGTTATTAAATTAGACGCATTGGAATTTTATCTATTAACTTTTGCTCGTTCATGTATTCAAACACAACAAATATCGAGCTTTCGTTATAATTTCGAGTTTTAAAATTACACATTTAATAAAATCCATGATTTTAAGAAAAATATATGATATTCGCATTTGGAACATATAATTTAAAATATTGTATTGCTTTAATAGTTTATTTCAAAGCAAGTAATACTTCGCTTTGTTATTTATAAATATGTATTGCAAATGCGAAACGTTACATTTCATTTTGGAGAAAGTCTGTAGGTACGATACAAAATTGTGGTATGACAAGGCACAGGACAATTCCATATCAATCAAAAATACGTCGGATAACATTTTTTCATTCTAATCTTTGTTCTTCAGAAGATCCAATTTAAAAATTGCATTAAGGCACGGTTTATCGTTTCGGTACTAACACATTTTATTCATATCTATGTTTATTAAAGCGATTACATATGCAGGCAAAATCGAATTTGCAGCATTTGGAGAAGTGAAACGTGGCGAAACATTAGCTAAACTTTATGTATTCGATTTTTCACGGGTTTGCGTACGACAGCGCAAATAACATTTCCAACAATTCCTAACGAAATTGAGTAAATAAATTTTAAACATTCTTCACGTCCTTTTGAACTTTGTAAACATAACTCGACGATATATAAACTCGATGATTCTTTTTGCAAACCGTATCTTTGTAATTCAGCGTTATCTTTAATCTTAATTTTTCTCCAAAACAGACCTTCGTTCGATAAATTTATTGTATACTTTCGACGTAATTTTGTATAATGCATTATCTCTGGCCTGATTGTACTACCATTTTGTCTCCATTTTATATACATACACCAGGTGTTCGGCAATAGTTGGTAGAAAATTCGGCAATAAGACGAAAATCAAGAATAACAAAATTGCGTTTGACGCTTTGTTGGCTAGTTATTAACATTTAACAATACCCCTGTGGCCGAGCAAACCTTCCTACACTAACGAACGTAGAGCACGTCAAGACACAGGGGTACAGTGATTCTCAAAAACCAACATCACAAGTCGCAGAGAAGAAGACAAAGATATTTGGCGCTGTAAACGACATTATCAACTTCTACGGCACTATCATTTGTTTCATCATCACACAGGTGCTTAAATTTTCTACCAACTGTTGTCGGACAGCCTGTATCTAATACAACAAAAGACTTCCAATTTTTCGTAAATTTATAATATGCTCCAATTGTGTACAATAAAAATTTTAAAAAAAGAATACATATATAGGTACATATAATATTTACTTCTGTTTACCGGACGCACTGTAATTTGCAATGAAAAATGCATTTTCATCGATCAATGCTTGATATTCGATTTCCAACAAATAAACTCCTTGGTGAATCCACGTTCCCAAATGAATTGTGTGAACTTCTCTGTCGTCATCCACATTGTATTGTGTAATGGGTATCCTTGATGAAACATTCTCAGAAAATGCAGCAGATGGTTTTACCACAGATTCTTTAATATTCGCATTTAGACCTCTGACTTCATCAAGATCAGAAGAGGAACCGTAACTTATCGAGGAAATCGTGGATCCTCCGGGGGAAGACATGTTTTCCGCTGGTTGTTCATCATCTCCCTCGTACTGTACTGTTTCATTTTCCGCCAAAGTAACTACAACGTTATTTTCAACAGAATACAAGGCACGAGAAACTGTGAACAAATGATGCGTGTGAAAAAAACAATTGTGATTAAACAACTACTTCTTGTAATTACTATATTTACTCTGTATATTGAATTTCCTGTTAATAAATTTGATTCTTTTTTTAATTCACAGAAATATTATCGTAGAAATAGCTTTCAAGCTTTAAGCTATTTGTAGCTTTTAAGAATTATGCGTAGAATTATTGACAATTTGAAAATTTTTAAAAATTTATTAATCTACTGTTTTATCAGTATGTTGAGATTAATCGCTGTACGAATACTTTTAACACTATCTGCTATACGTTGCTATTAAAATCAGAAACATTACCAAGCACTGCATCGTCCTGATAGCTGTTGTAATTAATATTATCGTCGGCTCTCCTTCTTCGTTTTCTTCGTAACCGACTTTTATTCTCCCCTGAATCCAGCAACGATAATTTATAACTTGCCACGACAATATTTTTCGCATTTAAAAAGAGTTTATTTAAACCGGTCGTGTCGTTTACACGAAAATCGATCACTACACGACCCTTTAGTATTGACGGACCATTAATATCGATGAACGGCGTTAATTCTAGGCGATATTTCAAGGGATGAATGAAAGGTGAAATAAAACTTTCACCAACAATGTCAGTAGTCTCGATCTCGTCATTCAGCAAATCTAAAGTCTCATAAGGCTGATAAATAAAGATTTTATAACGTTAAACAAATTTAAGACACTTAGTTGTATATTATTGCGAATAGTTTGTAAATATTTGCAATGAAATCAATTTATATATATATATATACACTACCGGCCAAAAGTTTGAGAATTTTTTATCGTTCGAATCAACTGATATGAGATAAATTGATAAATGTAGAATTGAGATAAACTTCAAATCTATAAAAAATTAGCAGCAGATTTAATATTGATGAAAAGTGGGAGGTGATTCCAAACTTTTGGCCGGTATTGTATATACATATACAGAAAATGATAAAGACTCGAAATTTAATGGCGATACATGTTACAGGAAATGAAGCGTTACAACTTAACGACGTAATGGTCTAATTGTATATAAGAGCACAGTGTTACGTCAGTAACAAATGGCCACATCCACTGTTTATAGCTAACAAGGAAAAGAACGCTGAGATGAGGAAAGTCTGTAGAGAAAATCCAGATGTAATAGTGGAACGTATAGTCGGTGGAACAAATATAGCGCACTCATAAAATCAGTCAGAAGTCAAAGTAAACATGTTTCGAGTGTTGTAACAACAAATTGATGGAATTATGAGAAGACAAGAATCCGAACCCTCAGTCAGGGCCGTATTATGTATTCACCGTGCCTGCACAGACTCTGTTGTCCTTCAAATTCTTCTAATGGTCTTCGTTTCCACCAGTATTGCTGCAATTTTTATTACTTTATCCACTGCTTTCTGTCAATGATTACCGTTTACGTTGTTTCTACTTCATTCTGTATCAGTTTCACATTTTCAAAATTCGACCAATCAATCGATCTGCGTTGAACACATGTGTTTATGATAGGGTAATTCCGGGAGAGATGGACCGGCGGGAGAGACGGACCAGGCAAGTATTTCCTGCGTTATCCGCCAAATGTGGAACGCGTCAGTATTCTTTTGTTTTACATTTGTTTTACGGAAAGCGACCGAGCGTGGCTCTCAGTGTGTTTTGTGCCATATCTGGCGGATGATGTAGGAAATACTTGCCTGGACCGTCTCTCCCGGCGGTCCATCTCTCCCGAAATTACCCTATGTCAGGCACAGAAAGAAACGTCAAATATTAAAGAAAGCTAATTGACATTTTTAATTTGTTCAATAGTACATAAAAGACCGTTAGTCAGGGGTGTCGAACTGGCTGCTCACGAGCCACATGCGGCTCCTTCTTCTGTTCCGCAGAGTCGTAAGAGATCGCCCCCCTCCGTACCTAATTCACTCTGATAAACTTCTCCTATCAGCAGGTTAGTCACCACTGCGTATACTCGTGTGTCATCTACACATAAGTCCCTTGTTTGTAGCTAACAGTACTAGGACAATTAATATGTAGCGGGACTCGTGCAACTCCTAGAGGAAAAGAAGTAGAGGAACCAACTAACCGAGAGCCAGACTCGTGCGACTCTGGGAGGAGAAGTTTGACACCTTTGCCGTTAGTTAGCAGTGTCATTCCTTTATTGTACGGACCTTAAAAAAGAGTGCCGTACACGATCCTGGCTGTAAATAGATTATGCTACGCCGCCACTTGCTGCTTTAATTTTCGACCTTGTTGTATTTGTTCCACCAACCTTACGTTTTCTGGTCATTTCTAAGCCATGCGAACCAAGGGCAGCCAGATTCAGTGTAATCATCTGGACATGAATCGGGACGCAACACTTAAAACTTAGAGACAACTTTCGAAATTGAGTTTTAATTCGTCAGTTCATCCAGTTTCACAATCAGTTCAACTTCGTTCGCTAGCACATTTCGGTTTAATTAAAAACGAAAAATCATCTCAGCAGCCTTCTTCCTTCCGCCATATCAAAGTCCCATATGCCAGAATAAATTCCTTAAATAATTCGATATGAGAAAAATGTACAAAATAATTTCGTGATTTACAACAGCAGCAATACCATTCCACTTTCTAAATGTTTCACCATTAAATTCTTCAACAATATACAGATGAACGAATTTTATGATTTCGTGTTTCTTTATGTTACTTACTTTTTTCTTTGGCAAAGAATCGATGTACCATCCGAGAAATCCCGCGGCAATAACGCCGATAATAAAAACTGCAACAATCCCTGCTATTTTTGTATAAGATAAAAACCAACCATCACCCCTTTTGCATTCAATGTCATCGCTAATCATAAATTGCACCGGACCACCGCTGAATTGTGGCATACTTTGAGCTACAAAAATCATTTAGAAACTGTAAATCTTTGAGAAAAGTGTGAAACGTTCTAAATGAAAAGAGCGAGTTGTACAGAATTTTTTGAAACTTTAAAAATTGAATGAAACTTGTTTTCTTCGATTCAACCAAATGTATATGTAACGGAGCACCGTTTATGGTTTGTTTATCGTTAAGAAAAATAAGCTTGCAGCTGTCGAAGATTCAGTCTTAAAAAATTTTCACAGTCGTTGCAAGTTAAAAATCCTAATTGCCGAAAATTACTTTATAAGGCACGAAGGATTCAGAGTCACGTGGAATATCCAATTTCTTGTAGTCAAATGAGATAGAACAGCGGATTATAAATAAAAAAGTAATAAGGAACATTTATCCTAAAACTCACCGTTCCTGAGTTATTCGACTTATTGTTAGTCCATTCTATTACTGTCATTACGAAGCATCACTTTTACTGATAAATACGGTAATGTTAATTAACCGCAATTATTTAAACCTTACTAAGGAAAACTATTTTTATAATTACATTTGTATGCACTACACATGTGTACATTTTGTTTGCATGGACTTTTAATATTTTAACAATAGTTGTTGGATTATTACTAATAATAATGCGTCAGCCAGTAAGCAAAAATGAATTGTGTTATATATATGAGAAAGACTGCTAGTGAAAATAACATAATAGACCAGATGTCATCGGACCCATAGGCCTGTAACTGTTTATACCTAAGTGATCTGGGTAAAAAACTGAGGCAGTCCTGGTCTCTTTATCTCAAGTGGACAACAGACTTTCTGTCGTACCCTTACGAGTTTTTCACCTTCACTTCGACTACGATTTTCTAAGCGTAAAGACGTTCTTCCGCGCCATAGAAATAAAACACGTTTAAGTAAATTCACAGTGAACGCTATTTATTTAACCCATTAATCCAATAATAGTAAATTATGGGAAACATAGAACATACGTGTTTTCGGTATACGTCATTGTGAAAAACCTTCAAATAAACGCTTCTTCAATTTGTATATTAGAGCTTTTTGGGCCCTAGGCATACAAATGAAAATCAAGGCCCTTCTTGTATAAACCAGAATGAGGGTGATATTTGTTAAAAAGAAAAACCACAAATTTTGAAGTTGTGTTATGTAAGAGTAAATAATTACAAGGGGCTTAAAACGACAGATATTAAAATGACGTTGGTTCGCTCGTCGATGGCTAGGTACGATAATGTGTGGGCCGCTGCCCTTTCTCCCGTTTTTATACGCTTCTTCGGCCGTTAGGGCCCTGCAAGCCGTGGGGTGGGGGGTGCAGCCTGCGCTGCTCCGTGTCTAGGGCCCCCTGCGGCTTGGGTCCCGCGGTCGTTGCCTAGGCGCGTCGCACAACGCCTTACAGTCAATTCATATTATTATAGTTTGAGATTATAAAACCATATGAAATGAAAATGTTTTCATTAAATCTAGAAGTCGAAGCCAGCGTATTTATTTATTTCATGCAGTAATGACAAACATCTCTATGCGGGCCCTAGGCACGTGTCTATTTTGCCTAATGGTAAACACAGTCCTGATATTAAATATTGTATTTTATATATAACATTCAAATACGTAATATACTGTGCATAATTTTCTAATTGTAAATATTCCCGGTGCGTTTCCTTAGAGATTAATTTAGTACATTTTGAAAGAAGATATAAAGACAGAATAAAAGTTGCATAATACCCTTATTCTAGAAACAACGAACGAACGAACACAACATTTTTAGTTAAATCGCTTCACGTAAACACATCTTATTAGTTTAACGGCTCAAGCGAGACTGAATTTCAAAGTAAACCGCTAAACTGTGAGCATGATTTCTTTCGGTCGTAAACTAGGTTTGATTCGGAGAGATTTATTTGCATTTTTCTTTCTCTTAGAAATTCTCTTAGAATTAATGCTCTTGTAATGCATTGGCAAAGTGTATCGAATATTATAGAAATTATTTTAAATAAAAATGTTTAATTTCAATAGAGTTATGATTTTTTCAAAATGAACGGCTTAAAACCGTGAGAACTTTCAGGATGACCTGATAACTTAGCAAATATGTAAAAAAAGATTAGACTGAAGTATAGTATCCGGACTGCAAAATATTCGGCTAGATTGATAAGGAAAGGTCCCACGGTATAACTCTCAGATTTTAACGACCTTCGGCACAATGATAGAGTTTGAAAAACTGAAGCTACTGATACCCGGTTTTGGATGCAGACGGTTACTAGCTTACGAGATATTCAACGTTAAAGTTTTTACCTGTGTGTACCTTCTGAAGTATATATCTTTCCTTGTGAGACTTTTTAGGGGTTTTTAAGGTAGTTGAAGCCGGAAATGGGGGTCGTTTTCGCGGAAATAAGGCGTTCGGAAGATGCAAGCCCCTATATATGTACATATAATAGATCTTCACTGCTAGTAGACGGACTATTCAGCAATTAGTATAACAATGTATGTATAAATGTGGTATATGGCTGAAAGATAAGTATATGTATGCAACGTGCAATAAACGAAAAAATTACCAGCTCTTTTTAAAGAGAGGTATGGATATTCGTGTGGGTTAGATAAATTTATGGCCAGAGGAAGCCGGCCGGCACTTGTCGCCATATAAAACTAAAGCTAGCAAAAATTTTTGAATTAATTTTTATATTTTTAATAGTTTGGTTAGGTGCGGTCTTTTTGATGTTACACTTCGTCGAAATACGTCGCAATGCTCCCAAATCTGAACCGAAACCGTTCATTTCTATAAAAAATAACCTTTATTTTCGGCTTTAGCGACCTAAAATACCCTCGAAAAAACACATTCAAATAAAAAATTTTGCAGTCCGGATACTGTACTATATCCAAAGATTACATAAAGAACACCCAAAGAATAGTAACAACCAATATCCAATAGAAGTTGTTCTTCTTAGGTTAATGTTCAACAATCTAAATCAATTTACCGAATGTTTTGTAGAGATAAATTATAAATTGTAACTAGGCTTCAATAAATACAAAAAAAGGGAATTCTCGATATTTAGGAATAATACCGACCGGTTGAAACGACATCGATGTTGTCACAATCGTGACGAAATCACGTTATCGTGCGAGCAAACGTGACGCGACGTGATTGAAATTGATTCCTTGCGGCACACACGTTCCAGGTAGGCTGATGTATACATGCTCGTAAATACAGTCGAGAAACGACTCCTCAAGGTCCTCTCTATACAGTATACACGCTTCTGATCAGCTATTAACTTTGTTATTCGCATAATCATTTACTGTGCCGACAACGCTTGCCTCGCCATAGTTTTTCATACGTTAATGACACTAGGAGGCAAGGAATTCCGTTCGATGTCACGATTTTTTCAGCTAAACACAATCCTCAATATTTCAACTAGTTTCTGTTACATAGAAACGAATGAATATTCGTGTGGCTGCTATGTACGATAAGGAATGCTACCGAGATGATATCTGCATATTAATTGGAGATGCATATTAAGGAATAATGAAAGGAAAGATTCAACAATTCAATTGAAACTATTTTAAAGAGGTTTTTACTTTTTCCTGGGAATACTTCTCTATCTTTTCGTGCGATAGTATCGCTTTATTTCCAAAGCATATCAATTTGTACATGTGCAGATATTACATTCATTGTCAGTCAAAGAAATCTCCGTACATCAAAAATATGGAATAATTTCAAGGTTACTGTAAAGAATCCTATTGCAACTTCCGTTTGATACAAATTTCAACAGCACTATATTCAATTCATCAGCAATACCATAATATCCAGACCTTAAAAATGTTATTCGCTAGAATAATACCATTAATGATCCACGTGCTGTGATGTAGTATACATAAACTGACCAGATTTTCTGAAGGCAAATTCAGTACATTTTTATTAAAGAAAAAAGAATAGATATATTTCATAACTATAATGAAATAAAATTACATTTTAATTTAATTATTGTATGTAACAAATTAGAAGAAATAAACAATCAAACTTTCTACATTTTTATTATTAAATATGATGACTGCTTAATACTCAAGTACCTAATACTTAAACAAAGGTTACATATGTATATTCATTTGAAGAAGAAATCACCTTCAATAATTGTTCATTATTTAAAATTTCTTCATAAAACTAACCACAGTTTACATTAATATTGTACTTTACAATTAATATGTTTTTCAAAGTATCCAGCCCTGATTGAC